TTTTTCATCTTGCAAAACCAAATCTCTATATCCATTGAACGATAACTCCCAGGTTCTCTCTCCTCCAGCCCCCAGCAACCATCATTCTACTTTCTGTTTCATTGATTTCAATTACTGTAAATATCTCATATAAGTGAAACTATGCAGATTTGTCTTTTTGTGTGATTGGCTTTGTAGAGCTAGGGCTGGGTCTGAAGTTCACAGAGCCCTTGAGCCCGTTCACAAACCCTTCACACGCAGGTCTGTGAGCGATGTTACCGACAAAAAGGTCCTTGGAGCCTTGGTTGAAGAAGGAATAGTCTTTATTCAGCACACACACATCTAATACCTAGGCAGTCCAAAGAGAAATTCAGAAACTCTACTGCTACCGGCAAAGTCCAAAGACAAACTGAAACTGAGCAGCTGCCAGCAGAGTTAACATTCTCTATTGTTAGACATGAGCTCTCCTGAGCTCTCTGCTGCCAGCCTGTTTCACAAACTCAAGAACACACAAAAGCAATTAACTAGAAAGATACATGGGTGCACATGCACACCAACTCCACCCACAAATAACTTGTTTACAAGAAATGTCCAGGGAGCCTGACTAAATTATCCTATTTTCCCCACAGGCTTATTTAACTTTGCATGAGGCTCATCTATTTTGTGGTGTGTGACAGAATTTCCTTCTTTTTAAAGGTTCAGTAATATTCCGTTGTATGCATATATCACATTCTCACCAGCAGGGCAGAAGGGTTCTAATTTCTCCACATCCTCACCAACACTTGTTATTTTCTTTTAGGTTTTTGGGGTTTTTTGACAGTGGCCATCCTAATGGGTGTGAGGTGAAATCTCATTGTGGTTTTGATTTTGCATTTTAGCATCTTTTCCTATGCTTATTGGTAAAATGCAAAATCAAAACCACAATGAGTTATCACCTCACACCCATTAGGACGGCCTGGGAGTTCAATGGATATAGAGGTTTGGTTTTGCAAGATGAAAAAGTTCTAGATCTGTTACACAACAGTGTGAATACAGTTAACAATACTGAACTGTACACTTAAAAATAGTTAAGAGGGTAAATTATACACTATGTGGGGTTCTCTTTTAACCATAATTAAAAATTAAAGAGAGGTGAAAGCAAAAAACAAAAACCAAACTCTGTATTAATATATAGAAGATGTCTTTCCTTTTGTTTGCATCTTCTTCAATTTCTTTCAACAGTGTTTTATAGTTTTCCATGTATAGGTCTTTTGCTTCCTTGGTTAAGTTTATTTGTAAGCATTTTATTATTTTTGATTATTTTGTAAATGGCATTCTTTTCTTAGTTTCCTTCTTGGATCATTTATTGTTAGTGTGTAAAATGCAACTGGTTTTTGTGTGTTAATTAGATTATAATTTTTATGGCTATTTTAAGTGTAATATTTCTCCCTTTTCTATTTTTAGGTGATTATCAGTAGGATAGAGAAAAATGTTTAATTTATTCATTTTTTATTCAGCCCTCTTATTTACTCTGAGTTTTATTTTTTTTAAATCTAGTGTCTTGGGTTTGGAAAGTATAAAATTGTCAACAACAACAGAAGAAAGTTTATATCTTCTTTTCCAATATTTACACTAATTATGAAATATCTTTGTTTGTTATATTTATTAGACCTTAAAGACAATGTTGAATAAATGGTCATAGGCACCAACCCTGTCATGCTCCTGATTTAGTTGAAGTGATCTTAATATTTTGCCACTTATAATAATATTTACTGCTGTCTTTCTCATAAAAGTATTTTCCTATACTTCAGTATTATTTTTACTTCCATTTTACTTAGTATTTTAATGATGGTTGACTCTTATGAAGTTCTTTTCAGCATCTATTAATATGATCACATGGTTTTTCTTCTTTAGTCTGTTGTGTAATGGTTATGTTGATCAGTTTACTAATATAGAGCAATACTTGCATTTTTGGAATAAATATGCTATGGTTTGAACGTGTCCCACAAAACGCATGTATTGGAGACTTAATCCCCAATGCAACAGTGTTGGGAGTTGGGGCCTAATGTGAGGTGATTAGGCCAAGAAAGCTTCCCCCTCATAAATGGATGGATACCATTATTGTGGGAGGGGTTCGTTATAGAAGGGTGAATTCGGTCCCCTTTTCTCTCTCCCTCTCTCTGCTTTTCTGCCATGGGATGATGCGGCAAGAAGGTCCTCACCAGATGCTGGTGCCTTGATCTTGGACAGTCGGCATCCAGAATTGTGATCCGATAAATTTTTGTTCATTATAAATTACCCAGTCTGTGGCATTCTGTTACAGCAGCACAAAATGGACAAAGACAGAAAACATCATTCTCTGAATACACTGTTGAATCTATTTGTAAATATTTTATTTATAATTTTAGTATCTATATTTATGAGATGACTCATGAGATTTAGTATTCTCTCTTTTTTCGGTACAATATTTATTAGGTTTTTGTATTAAGGCTTTCTCTTCACAGTATGAATTGGGGGAATTTTTCATATTTTTCTATAGCTTGTAATCTTTCATTGACATTGAGATTATATATTTGTCAAGGATTTGATAGAAAGATTGTGAATACGCTTGGCCCTGGTACACTTACATTTGTTTTTAGTGATAGATCTTTAATTATCTTCCTAATTTACTCCATGATAATAGATCTATACAAGTCTTCTATTTCTTTTTTTTTTTTCTTTTTGTCTTTTTCCGTGTCCGGCAACGGATCACAACCCTCAGTGTCGCCCCCGTACCGGACCGGGACCGGCAACGGGATCGCAGCCCTCGGTGTTGCTCCCGCGCCTCGCTCAGCCAGTGAGCGGGAACCCGTCTGTATGTGGGATCCGAACCCTCAGCGGGAGCGCCGCTGCGCTTCCCAAGCGGTGCACTATAGCAGTGCGCCACCGGGCCGGCCCCTAAGTTTTCTATTTCTTTTTGGTCAATTTTGGTAATTTATATTTTGCTAGAAAATTATTCATTTCCTCAAAGTTTTTAAAATTCTTTCCTTAAATTTGTGTGCAATATTCTCTTATAATTTGTCCAGTCTTTCCTATATCAGGGTTGTATTTCTTTTCTTACGCCTTGTATGTATTTTTGCTGGTTTTTTTTTTTTTTTTTTTTTTTTTTTTTAATCAGGTTCTTTCTGGATTTATCTCCTTTCTTGGTCTTTTCAAGGAACACATCTTGTTATTTATTTGTCCTTCTAACATTTAAAAATTTCTAATTAATTTCAACTTTGATCTTTATTAATCTTCCACTTCTGGTTTCTTTCATTGCTTTCCTAATTTCTTAAAATAATTAATAAAGTACTATATTTATCTTTCTGTTTTATAATAAAAACATTTAGCCTATTCATTTTTTTCAGAGTATAGCTTTTCCCATGTCTTGTAGACTTGGATTTAAAATTATATCAGTTAGAACACATTTGGCTGTAAACAGCAGGATACCTGACTAATAGTGACTTAACAATTTCATCAAAGACTCATGTTTTTTCTGGTGTTTTGCTCATCATCCTCACCACCTTGGCTTTTTGTACATGTGCTCATCATTGCAAGATAACAGCCACAGTTCCAGACATCATATGCTCTATCCTATTCATGGGCAGGAAAAACAAAGGATGGGACAATGCAATTCAACCCTCTTTCTTAAAATGTCTTTTTTAAAAAAAAAAAATCAGAACACTTTCCTAGAAGACATTTTCTTACATTGATTGGTTATAATTGGGTCACATGGCCACTCTTAGTTTCAAGAGTGGCTAAAAAGTATCTGACAGAGGGAAAGGATTGCATGACAGACTTAGGCCAATCATCATGCATCCCCTGGGCTACAAACAGTGGGCTATTCAATACTGTTTGGTTAGATACCCCAGGCTCCAACCAACTTGGGGGTTCTAATAGATTTGCCTTCATGTATTTGGTTGCTATGTTGTTTGGTACATACAAGTTTGTGATTGTTACATCTTATTCTTCAATTTTTCCCTTATCATTACATTAAGTCCCTCTTTAACCTGTTGGATGCCTTAAACTTCACCTTGTAAACTATTGCCTCTCTTGCTTTCTTTTTAAATTTTAATTTACCTGATATCTCTCTGTTCATTCCTTTATTTTCAACTTATTTTGTTTGTTTCTTTTTTTTTTAAGAGAGTTTCTTGTAAGTAGCATGGAAAAATTTATTCTGTTTGCATTTAGAGTAATACACTTGATTTTCTTGCTTCATCTTATGCTATTCATTATCTGTTGTAACTTGTTTCCTCCTCACTTTCCTTTCCTTTGTTTTTATCAGGGCGTTGGCCGTAGAGGTGGCCAAGGCAGAGGTTCTGTGCTGGTATCCAGCATCCAGCTGTGGTTGATGTGGGTAGAGCAGTGCTGTCTTCACCAGATCAGCTTTGCAGCATAGTTTGGGGGATCCTTCCTGGCTTTGAAGCCTCTGAATTTAGTCCTCCATCTTTCTTAGAGATTCAGTGTGCTACCCAACATCTTTTTTTCTCTTATTTAATTAGCCAAAATTGGTGTTTGTTGCTTCAACTAAGAACACTGAGTAGCACAGTTCCAAGTTTTTTGTTTCTTTCCAATCAATTTTATGGGGCACCTCTGCTCAATAGAGTTTTACCTTATTTATTTAGACATATATTAGATACTGAGAAGGGGCAGAGGATACTTAGACCACAAAATAATTAAACTATTTTAGATTCAACAAGAAATTTTCCAGTACATTTTCTTCTTGGAGATGTAGAATAAAATCCTTTATGCTAATTTTTATGAGAGAAAGACCTGATTCCCCTCTTAGAAAGTAACCCAATGTCTTACTCCATTTGTGCTACTGTAGCAAAACACCACACTGGGAGATTTATAAACAATAGAAATTTATTTCTCACAGTTCTGGAAAATGGGAAGTCCAAAATCACCAGCAGGTTTGGTTGTCTGGTGAGAGATGCTCTCTGCTTCCAGGATGGCACCATGTTCTCCCAGAGGGGAGAAATGCTGTGTTCTCATATGGTGGCAGGTGGAAGAGCAAGCTGGCCAAATGCTGTGTGAAGCCTCTCTTATAAGGGTCTCAATCCCATTCACAAGGGAGGAGTCCTCATGGCCCAGTCACCTCTTAAAGCCCCACCTCTTAACACCGCAACATCTTAACGCCGCAACATCTTAACGCCGCAACATCTTAATATACTGGCAACATCTGAATTTTGGAGGGGACACATTCAAACCATAGTGCTCAGGTTTTACAGACTTTGAAATTATTTTTACAATTATAAAATTATTTGCCCACTTATAAAACAAAAGAAAACAGAAATGAATGAAGGAGAAAGAAGGGTCTTCTGGACTTGGGTCAGAGCCAGGTTTGGGGTGAGGGACAAGTATGTGGAGCCTGCTTCGTGTTCATAAGGGCCAGCAATTTATGAGGCAATGAGATGCTCCAGGGACAGTCATCTTGAGTCACTCGCTGATGAGGAGGGTGATGGGGATCCAAGTTGCAAATTTCTGAAGTCATCCGTTAAAACATTGACATTCCAGGACTGTTGAGAAAGAAAAGGCAATTAGGAAACTCAACTGGTGAGAAGCTGCAGGAGGAAGGGAGGGAGAGGTGGTGATGAGAACCCGGGGAGAGAGAGGAGAGGCCCAGGAGGCCCAGGGAGGCCTTGACAGGAACGGAGGTGAGAGCATCTACAAAAAGGGAGAGAAAGGAGGAGCTGGGAGCCCCTGGCAGCAGAGGAAAGTGAGAAAGAGTGTTGCGAGAAGAGAGCAAGGTGTGGGGGAGCACGGGGAGAGCGGGAGGAGAGGAGGGGCGGCTCTACAAAAAGGGAGAGAAAGGAGGAGCTGGGAGCCCCTGGCAGCAGAGGAAAGTGAGAAAGGGTGTTGCGAGAAGAGAGCAAGGTGTGGGGGAGCACGGGGAGAGCGGGAGGAGAGGAGGGGCGGCAGGTCAGCGGCTGGGCGGGCAGGCATGGGACAGGCGTGGGGCAGGCGTGGGGCGGGCCGGGGCTGCTGCAGGGACAGCTTCTCACTCTCAGGATCCTCTCGAGCCGTTGGCTTATGCTGTTGCTGTATTGCTCCAGATTCTCCCATTCCTCAAAGGGCCTTTCCTCATCCACAAAGTTTCTCCAGCAGTCAGTAAACTCTGAGATGGAAGAGGGGGAACCAGTCAGGCCCCAGGGCAGGCGCCGCAGGGCCAGGCTCCCCCCACCCCCCAGCACTACTCTCTCCCGAGAATCCTTCCTTCCAGGACATACACGGTACTTCAAAAAGCTCGTGGAAAGATTCGTATAATCTTTCAATTCTCTTTTTTTCACAAACTTTTTGAAGTGTCCTCATATCAAATCTTGGGCATCACTGGGCCACCATTCTTCCTTCCTGCTCAGTCCCCAACCTCTGTCCCCCCTACCCTAGGTTTTGCCCTCCTGGAACTGCAAACCCTTCCCTGTCTACTGAGAGCTCTGGTCTCTCCTTCCTACCTGGGAGTTTCATGACATCCACTGGGACGTTGGATTTACACAGAAGTTGCAGCCCCTCCTGATGCTTCTTGCGCCAGTGGCAGTACAGGCGGGAGGTGAAGATCCGCAGTCTCAAGCGGGGGTGATCGTGATGGTGGTGGTTTATGAACTCAACCAGTTCCCGGGCACAGGAGGGGCAGGGGCTCCACGTGAGATAGCAGGTGATTTCGTAGCTCTCGGCTGGGTCCAGCCTCATTGACCGGATCTTGTCAATAAAGCGAATTTCTGCATGGCGACGTTTCTGGAGAGGGTTCCAGACAGAGAAGGAAGGGTTAGAAGGCAAAGGCCAGAGGTCATGTGACTGAGGGCAGGGTTGGAGTGAGGGGCACCATCCTGTAAACTTTCTAGTGTGAGCCTCGCCTCGCCTCGCACAGGGAAAGAATCTCTTTCCTGCCTTCCTTCCTTCATGTAGCCCTTCACTCACTCACTCGTGCACTAACTCAACATTCCCAAAGCCCCCAGGAATCCCAGTGCCCAGGGAAGGAGACAGTGGCAAACGGACACCACCTCCACGCACAGTCGTGGCTGCCCTGTGGACCTCGCCTCTGGAACTTGTCCAGGAGTTGTCTGAAAGGTGTTCCAGCCTGGGGATCCTAAGGCACAGTCCGGGGTGGGAAGGCAGAGGGATGGGGCAGGGTGGGAGACGGCAGGGCAGAAGGCAGGTGCAGATTGCGTAGGTGGAGTTAGGAGCTCAGAACTAGGAATAGCATCTTGTTTTTCTGCACTGCAGTGACTGAGCTGAGATGGGGAGGATGAGTGAACGTGAACTTCTCAAAGAGGGGCAGAGAGAGCGTTCTATGGAGGAATGGCTTCTGTGGAGGTCCAGGGATGGGACAGAATGTGGACAGTCCCAGGGAAGCTGGGCTGCTCAGAGCCAGCTAAGCCACTGCCAGGCAGGGAGCTCAGGAAATCACAGAGGGATTAAGTGGCAGTTGAGGAACTGCTAGGCTTGCATTACATGTGTTTTCCCTGCACGTTGGAGGGGGTAACTGCCCTGTGCCAGTAGAGCAAGTCTGGCACCTTGTTTTGAAAGCAGCCTTTGTCGAGTGTGGGGCCATTGAGCAGCTTCAGCTGGTAGCACAAGTAGGTCTTCCTCCGGTAGTAGGGCTTTTTGACCCGGTGCTGGTTGTTAAACTGTTTGCTGAATACATCTTCCTTCAGCCACCTCATTGTGTTTCTGTGCAGCAGGAAGGAGAAAATCAAAGAAACAGAGAGAATCATCTGGAGTTACCCAACTCCGTGGGTTCACTTGGGCCCCTGGGGGAAGGTGAGGGAGGGTCTCCTCTTTCCTTGCTGGCAGCAGGAAGAGGGTGAGCTCTGTCTCCCACCTTGCATGCTGCCTGCCACCCTCCCACCAGGTGGATCCCGGCCCTTGGCACTGTCCTGCCAGGGTGGGTGGGGAGCCCCTCCCGAGGAACTGTGGGTGCACCCTCCCCTTGGACAATGACACACTCTCCTGGGCTCAGAGCCTCTGCTCTGTGCCGCTCATACACTTTTGTCCCGAGCCTCAGACCCTTCCTCCCAACCTCCAGCTGGACAGTCCCTCCTGGGGATCCCAGAGGCCTCTCGACCCCAACATGTCCAATGCCAGGAACCTTCTCTTTGGAGAATGGTGGATGGGAACTGGTGTTTCCTCTAACTCTGTGCTCTTTGCTTAGGAGCGTGTGTAACCATCTTGTCTGCACAATGAGCACTGAGGTGGGTGAACAGGAAAACTGTTGTCACCAACAGAGGACTTTTGGCTGGAGAATGTACATAGATTTTTCTCCCCCTAATTGTGATCACACTCTATATAGGGTGTTCAATTTTGTGTCTTACTTTGTTTCATTTAATACGATATTGCAAAGTGACCTGGCACAGTTGGGCACGCAGAACCACTGCATTCTTTTTGATAAATGCTGTTGGTTTTGTCTTTTTTTTTTTTTTTTCGTGTCCGGCAACGGATTGCAACCCTCGGTGTTGCCCCCGCTCCTCGCTCAGCCAGTGAGCGGGAACTGGTCTGTATGTGGGATCCGAACCCTCGGCAGGAGTGCCGCCGTGCTCCCAAGCGGCGCACTGTAGCAGTGCGCCACCGGGCCGGCCCAATGCTGTTGGTTTTGCACAGATAGAAGTAGGTTGACAGAACTGGGAGCCTTCCTCCACTCCACAGGGAAGGCCACTGAAGGCACGCTTTGGCCAGAGCCCCACGGCTTGTGGACATTTATGATTAAGTGGATACCAGACAGTCTTGACAGCTGCGTGGGAAGCTCAGTGGAACCCAGCTTTCTGTCTTTCTGGACACTGCGACAACACCTTGTGTGAACATATTACCCAAGGCAAATGTGACCTGGCTGACCATTGAGTGAGGCTCAGGTGACCATGGACGCTCACAATGTATATCTGGACACAGGAATTAGGCTGAGGTTGCTATTCCTCAGGGCACTGACCACGGGGCCTAGTTGATTTCCATATCCTGTGACTGCAAGGCCAGAAGCTTCTCCCCCAGCTTTCCAGCCATCTCATGAAACACACTAATTCCACCAACAAAAAACCATTTCTAACATCTGTTATGTTAATTAACAAAGCCACTAAGTTCATCAGTGGAAACCTACTTCTGACATCCCTTTATGCCAATTAGTAAAACTTCAGGTGCATTTGGAGGAAGATTGCTGAAGAGCTGGTGGACGCCATCTCTGGACTGTGGCCTTGGATTAATGACCAGCGACTCCACCTGAAGTGGCAGCTCCCAAACAGGGCAACTAGCCGCCCTCAGCATGAGGCTTAAAACAAAAACACCCATTCATAGCACATGTGGGATGACCAACTCTGCCCCATCTGCCTGGGATCTCCACAGTTTTAGTCCAGAAGTTCCCACATCTGGGAAATCCCACAGTCCTGGGCAAACCAAGCCAATCAAGGCTGAAACATTTCAAATTTTAGACGGTCACAATATCGTAATAGCACAAATGTTGAATCTTGACCTTGAATAGTTAAAAGTGTAGGTATGAGAGAAACCACTTTTAAGAATTATTTAAAGACCAATTTAATTTCTGTTTCACACTGGTAGTGTCTTCATGGGAAACAAGTTATCTTTTGTCCTGCATAGAGTTTTTCCTCCACAGAGCAAAAATTAGAACATTCTTTGCAAAATTATACAAGTCTTTTAAATAAAATGTATAAACATATCTTTGGAGATGACTCCAGTCGTTGCAATCACCCTTCAACCTGAAGTCTGCAACTGAGCTTGAACAGAGAGCTTTCAGAAGACCCAGCAGCTGTACCCACGGGTGGCTGTGCCCACAGAACATGTCCAGGGACCTAGAAACACAGGATGTAGAGAAGCAGGAGGCTTCTGCTGAGGCAGAGCCTGAGCACAGAGGGGGCTGGGTGGGAACAGTGGGCAGAGTACCTGGTCCCTGCAGCCCGGCTGCAACTCCTTGTGGACTTGTCCAAGCTCTCCCTTTGAAACGGGCGCCCTGGCTCCGCTTCTCTCAGGCAAGGCCACTCTTAGCCTTGGGTAAGTCTTTTGTCTGTGACTGTCCTCCTGCAGCAGAGGCCACATCCTCTCCCTGCCACAGTTGGGCGATCACCCCTGATCACCTCACCGATCACATCACCAGGGTGGGAGGGCCCGGGGTTGATTTTACTTCCCTGGGCTCCGACTCACCTTCTCTCCTCTCAGTCCCTCCCACATACCTGATGTGTGGAGTCTGGACACAGCCTCCTTGGCTGGCTTGTCTCAGCTCTGCCTTTTTGTCATGGGCACTCAGGCTCCATTTCCTGTTTTGGGAGACCTCCCAGGGACATCTGAGTGGAGGCCCCACCTTCTTCCTGGGGTGGGAGGGCCTGCAGGGTTTGGCTTCCTCTGCCTCTGGCCCATCTTCTCTCCTTCCGGCTTGGCAGAGCAGGGCCTCTGATGGAGGCAGGCCCCTCTGTGCAGCAGGACCCAAGGGAATTGCAAAAGGAAAGAGGAAGTAATTGCCATCAGGGAGAGGGTATAGACCTGGGGTGGGAGAGCAGACAGGTGCCCCTGCCCATTGGACAGGGCAGGCTGGAGCCCTCTCCATACCGCCCCTACTTGGCCCTTATTTGTCATTCAGCCTTCTGGCAGGACTCTGGGCAGGATGCGAAGGGAGGGCTGGGCATCAGTGCACAGGACTTCATCTCCAGCCCTGGAGAAGGCAGGTGTGTTGAGCAGATCCTGGGCCCTAACCTCTTCCCCAGTCCCTCAATAGCTCTGAGAGGGGAGGATCATGATCCTGACATCTCAGAGGAGGTCCCAAGCACAGAGAGGCTAAGATACTCTCTCAAGGTTACACAGCAAACAAATGGCAGAGCTGGATGGCCTGTTTCCCTTCCCCATGCCCAGCTCCTTCCAGGTTCCTCATTGTTCCCTGGAAAGCCGAGGAGAGGTGACACAGGTTGTGGGGCTTGCTGTCAGCAAAGGGCCTTCCAGGTCAGGGATTCCAGGAGGACTTCAGGTTTGCCTACTTCTGGGAAGCTATCTGCTTGCTTTGGCATGTATCCACCAAGCACCATCCGATAAAGAAAACACGGGGTATGTTGTGAAAGTTGAATCCTAAGGGAGAACTTCGAGCAGCACTCGGTCACCTCAGAGTCCAGATTTCAAAGATGAACCCCAAATGAACCTTTCCCAGCTTGTCCCTCTCCACTCCCCACTTCACATACATCCTGTCCCCCAGGCCCTAGGATGGCCCCTGGGGTAACAGGAGCTCGGGCAGAAGTTTAGAGGATCCATGGAAATGTCACTGGAGTCAGGTCTGGCTGCCCACCCCCTTGAAATGGAAAGAAAAAACTCAGAAGTCAAATGGTTGGTGTTAGAAAAGCAGATGTATTCAGCTGAAGGAGATGGCAGGCTATCCCATCTCAAAGGTTTACATTTACTGAGGGGTTTTTAAAGGAAGCGTTGAGGGAATGGAATGTGGGAGGTGAAAAGCAGGAGAGCAGATGTGAGCTACGAGGGGTCCGTTTCTATGGGTCTGGTACAAGGTCTTGCCAAGGCCTCTCTGGTTTCTGTTCTCATCTTCGCTGTTATCTCAGGACCCTGCAAGATTTTGGTTTGCGCCAGTGCACTTGGCTAGTGCCCAAGGTCAGCTTCAGCCATTTGGCCTTGATCATTTGTCAAAACTCCACAAGTCTCAAAGAAAGAACTGTTAGCTTTGCAAAGAAGTAATTAGCTTCTCAGCCTTATTTTCCTACTTCGTGAGCGAGATAAGAAAGTCAGGGGATGGGAACAGAGTGGAGAGTAAAAAACTGTCCTTTTAAAAATCCTCCCCCCTCTGCAGCCCAGGCAGCTTTAGGTCCCAACATGGCTTCAGTCTTGCTCACTCCAATAGAAATGACGTCTCCTCCACTTCCATCTGTCTTAATGTCCTGGGAGCACAGCCCATGGAAGACTCCAGAATAAGCCGAGCCATTTCAGGGAGAGATCAGATCTGCTCACTGGGATGTTTGTCCTAACCTGAGAAGCAGGAAGGTGGAACCTTTGCTGGCCTTTCCTACAGAAGCGTTCCTGCTGCCGGGAACTAGCCAATGTCTGTGAGCAGAGACCTAAAAGGTGTGAGCCTTCTGGGAAGGGTGCTGTGCCTGGAGTGTGCCCAGCTTGGAGGACGCGTCCTGGAGGATCCGTGGGTCTCTAAGACTGGGTCTGCTGAGTTCTTTTTCTCCAGGAGGAGGACACAGTCCGGCCTGTCCCCTTTGGCCCATGTTGATGACCGAGACAATCAAGGAGTGCACCGTCCAGATCTCTGCCCTCCATGCTTTGCTCCTCGCAGGAAATTCCAAACAGAGAGAGCATCAGGACAGACGTGCTGAAGCAGCCAGAGGGATCCCCCAGATCCTGCCCTCAGGAACCACGGCCCGGGCCCCAGCATCATGGGGCCAGGGAGGGACAGTGTCTGGTGCCTCCCATTCATTCCCCCCAGAGGCCCTGGCTGAGGCAGGAGCGGCAGGTGGGGGTGAGGCCCGAGAATGTCCACAGTGATTCTGAGTGCGCTGCACGCTCAGTGCTTCCTTCTGCTCTTCCACCTTCCACGTTTGCCTGCCCAGACTTGCACCATCAGGCTGAACTCCTGCTTCCTCTTGTCCTGAGTCATGGAAGAGCAGCGGCTGGCATCCTGGGCCACCCTGCCTGGACCCTCCCCTGAGCTTGTGCACAACTCCCTTCACCTTGGGGTTCGCTTCTGAGGTCCAGGACCCAGGGGTTCGCTGCTGCTTCACCTTGAGGCCCGCACTGCCTTTTCTCTGTCCCATTTGGGCCTTGGGGGCCCGTCTTATGTTCTATTCTGCTTTTTGGAAAAGCTCACACAGTCTCCGGCCTCATGTTATTTCCTAAAATCTTACTTAAGTATGAACGTAACCACTGGACGTGTTCCTGCGGCTCCCCCTGCAGCACCCTCCCCAGGCTGCAGCCCACGCCAGCTGCTTCTCTGGGAGGGCTGGGGGTGAAGGAGAGTGACGGGCTGGGGACTCCAGGGACAGCAGGGGTGGATGGAAGGGGTGGCAGCATCAGGTGAGGGGTCACCCAGGAGGTCAACCCACAGAACAAAGACTGCTGCCCTCCCCACCCAGGCTCGGCCACAAAGGCCCTCGGTCACTGTCACGGGCTGGATTGGGTCCCCCCAATGCGTGTGTGGAAGCCCTAACCCCGGTACCTGAGGGGATGAGAGCACTTGGAGACACACACTTTAAAGGGTGACAAGTTAAAGTGAGGCCGATGGTGTGTCCTGACCAGACCTGACCGGTGTCTTACAACAAGAGGCAATCAGGACACAGAGAGACACGGGGGACGTGTGCGTACAGAGGAGAGACCATGTGAGGACACAGAGAGAGGGCGGCCCTCTGCAAGCCAGGAAGAGGGGCCTCAGGAGAAGCGACCTGCTGAGTCCCTGATCGTGGACATCCAGCCTCCAGAACCGGGAGAAGTCACTCGCTGGTGACTGGTGCCTGGTCTCGGGCGCTTATTAAGGCAGCCCTGGCAGCTACGGGTCACCTTCACGGAGGAGGTGCCTTCTCTGATAAGTCAAGGCTGCCTCGCAGGGTATTTCTCAAAGCTTCTGATTTTCATGCTTATGTGTTTTTGTGCCCGTTTGTGTTCAGTGTAACACAAGATTCGGTTGCTCTGTCGTGATGGCAGGAGCCAGGTTAGGGGGGCTCTGAGGCTGGGGGGAAGGAGACGTTGGGCTGCATGGAGGTGGCTCCGCAGGGAGAAAGGGGTCTTTTCCAGGAGGGGCCCAGGGAAGCAGGGAGGAGACGGTGAGGGGGGAGCAGCCCAGGGCCGGCCAGGCAGGAGGCCAGGCAGGGAGGGGAGCTGGTCAGAGTGGAGGGAAGGCCTGAGGGGTCGAGCCGAGGTGACAGGGGGAGGCGAGGAGCCCCAGGAAGCCCCTCACCTGAGAATGTCCCCCAGCATGGAGTTCAGGAAGTGAAAATTTGTCGTCAGTTTCTTCCAAGGCTTGAAGGGCATTCCCTGGTTGTACACAAACTCTTCCCAGCAGCTTTGAAATTCTGAAATAGAAGAGGCAGGAAGCAGCCAGGGCTGAGCGGGCCCTTCTCCCTGACCTCCGGGCTGCCCTCCCTGGGGCCTGTCTTCTGGCGGCCAGTTGGAATCAGGGCTGGCTCCATCCTGTGCGGCTGCCCTGGGGCCCTCATCCTGCGGGCATCGCACACCTGCCCTCCCTCACCCTGGCCCCTCCCAAAGCCCAGAAGCCCGCCCCCACTTCTCACCTTGGAAGGACATGACGTTCACCTGGGCCCCTTCCCAGCACAGCCTGCGAAGCCCCTGCCTGTATTCTGATTCCCAAAAGTAGTAGAGGCGGGCGGTGAAGATGGTCAGCGTCACGTTTCTGTGCCTGGCCAGGAAGTCGGCCACCTGTTCTGCACACTTGCAGCATGGGCTCCAGGATATGTACCAGGTGACCAAGTAGTGCTTGTCATGGGACAGCACGTTGTTGAAGAACCAAGAGAGGAAGCACAATTCTGCATGGCGGGGAGGACAGGGATAGACCTGGGAGAAGTGGAGAAGGAAAGAGAAGCTCTTGGGTGGGGAGCAGGCAGCAGGGCAGGTGCAGGGAGAGGGGAGCAGGCCACAGGGCAGGTGCAGGGAGAGGGGAGCAGGCGTCGGGGCAGGTGCAGGGAGAGGGGAGCAGACCACGGGGCAGGTGCAGGGAGAGGGGAGCAGGCAGCGGGGCAGGTGCAGGGAGAGGGGAGCAGGCAATGGGGCAGGAGCCCCAGGGTGTGTTATTCACTGATGATCCCTTTCTCCTTTCCCCTGCCATGGTTTGGATGTTTGTCCCCTCAAAACTTATGATCAAATTGAAGTGCCATTGGAATGGTATTAAGAGGTGAAACCTTTTAAGAGGTGATTAGGCCATGAGAGCTCCTCCCTTGGGTGGGGTCGGTGCTGTTCTACAAGAGCGAGTTCAGCCCCCTCCTGCCCCCTCTTGCCCCCTGGCCTTCAGCCCTGTCATGATGCAGCAAGAAGGCCCTCGCCAGGGCTAGGTGCAGGGAGAGGGGGGCAGGCAGCAGGGCAGGTGCAGGGAGAGGGGGGCAGGCAGCAGGGCAGGTGCAGGGAGAGGGGGGCAGGCAGCAGGGCAGGTGCAGGGAGAGGGGGGCAGGCAGCAGGGCAGGTGCAGGGAGAGGGGGGCAGGCAGCAGGGCAGGTGCAGGGAGAGGGGGGCAGGCAGCAGGGCAGGTGCAGGGAGAGGGGGGCAGGCAGCAGGGCAGGTGCAGGGAGAGGGGGGCAGGCAGCAGGGCAGGTGCAGGGAGAGGGGGGCAGGCAGCAGGGCAGGTGCAGGGAGAGGGGGGCAGGCAGCAGGGCAGGTGCAGGGAGAGGGGAGCAGGCAATGGGGCAGGAGCCCCAGGGTGTGTTATTCACTGATGATCCCTTTCTCCTTTCCCCTGCCATGGTTTGGATGTTTGTCCCCTCAAAACTTATGATCAAATTGAAGTGCCATTGGAATGGTATTAAGAGGTGAAACCTTTAAGAGGTGATTAGGCCATGACAGCTCCTCCCTTGGGTGGGGTCGGTGCTGTTCTACAAGAGCGAGTTCAGCCCCCTCCCGCCCCCTCTTGCCCCCTGGCCTTCAGCCCCGTCATGATGCAGCAAGAAGGCCCTCGCCAGGGCCGGCACCTTGATATTGGACTTTGCAGCCTCCAGAACTGTGAGGCAATACATTTCCGATTACTGGGAGTCACGCAGTCTCAGGAATTCTGCACAGAACCGACTAAGAAGCTCCCTACTCTTCTTTTCTAAGTCGTGCTCCTCCCCCTCATTCGAGGACATTTATTCTAGTGTCCACTCTCCCAGGCACCTGTTCAGCAAGCATTCCGAGCCCTGCTCTGGCCAGTCCCTCAGGACTCAGCCTGGTTCCCGGCCTCCTGTCTGCTGGGGAGGGCTACAGAGCTGCACTGTCCCATGAGGGCCATTGGCCACACGTGGATACTGAGCACTTGAAATGTGGCTCATCTGAAGTGAGACCTGCAGCCTGTAAAATGCACAGCTCATTTCAAAGACTCACAATGCAAATGAAAAGAACATAAACTCTCTCGTGAAGAATGTTGTGTTAATTATATGTTGGAATCATGTTAGGTATTCTGGACTAAATGAATTATTAAAATTAATTTTGCCAGTTTCTGTCAGCTTTGTAAGCTATGGGTCTAGAAAATTGTAAATTACTTGTACGACTGCTACTACATTTTATCGGGTGGCCCTGCTACGGAGCAAGCCTGCCCACCCAGCAATGGCTCCCCCAACACATTCAGAAAAGTCTCCAGCCTGGGTGGAGGAGGACGGCAGGTGTGGGTGCACGTCTGCAGGGGTGGTGAGGGGTGGGCGTGGGCCGCAGGGGCTGGTGCCTGCTCTAGTGGCTGCAGAGGCCGGTCACAGCTGCTGTAGTGGTCACCCAAGGGAGTCCTGTCCATGGCCTCTGAGTAGGCTGGGGTCAACACTGTGTGATAACGCATCCTAGACCAGGAGGAACCAGGGTTGTGGCTGGGCTGGCAGGACCAGCCTGCGGGTCCTAGGGCCAGATAAGGTGTGGGGTGCACAGGATGCCCCAACTTTCCCAGAGGCTCTTCCCTCGAAGACTGCTAGACACCGAGCACAGTTACAAGATTTTGGGAAAAAACCACTCGGAGACTCTGGGCCGTGGCCTCTAAGCAGGGCCTTTTGTGACAAGTCGGGCACCATCATCTGTCAGATTCCACAACAGTCAAGCGGGAACATCAGGGCCAAGGACTGAAGAAATGTTCTGGGAAGAAAACGTACAGTGGGGAGCCCACGTCTGGCATTTTGCTTAATGTGATTTTTTCTGCCATCTCAACTGGCTTAGCGCCCGGCTGCGAAGTGACTTGTCAGGCTGGTACCTGGTTTTTTTTTTTGTCTTTTGTCTTTTTCCGTGTCCGGCAACGGATCGCAACCCTCAGTGTTGCCCCCGTACCGGACCGGGGACCGGCAACAGGATCGCAACCCTCAGTGCTGCTCCCGCACCTCGCTCAGCCAGTGAGCGGGAACCGGTCTGTATGTGGGATCCGAACCGTTGG